TCGGTAGACATGTCATTCAAATATTGGCCAATATTTTAACCAGTTACTCAGTCGATAGTGTCACCTGATGGGTGCCTATTAAAAGAGCTCATGAACCATAAATCCTGTACTGACCAAGCCTGTCATGTTTATCAAGATGACTGGATATCAGGCTTCTTTTTTTTATTTTGCATTTTATGCACCTCAACTTAATAATATTGTAGTCCATAAAAGAACAGAAAAAGAACCCATTCCTTCAGTAAACCTTACTTCTAATTATTCTTCCTCTATTTATCTAAGGGGTGCATGAAAGGAGGCTCCATGTGACTCTAGATCTAATGTCAAATTCTCCCATTAATGTATATAAGTATATGCTGGGAAATTGGAGGGAGAATCAAACAGTTGATAAGAACACATTTGGGGCTTTATTCCAGGCCCCAAGTCTCATCGATGTGAGCTCTCAGCATTATACTTACTTTTTATAACCTCTAGTTTGTAATAATCTTTGTACAGTGATTTACAATAAAGTTCAGATGTAGCAGTACTCTGATCGGTTGAAAAAGTATAAAACATGCTGATGGCACTCTCGATTGCTTTGAAAATAAAGTTTGTTTTGGAAATTAGAAAGTAACGTGGGAAATTTAACAGATTCTTTATCATAAAACAAATAAAGAAGCCTTGACTGTGCTGTGTTCTGTTGTAAAGCACTTAGGAATTGGCGTGAGCACTGAAGACGTATGGAGAAACACTCAACCATGTCACGTGTTCCCTCCTCCACTTCTTTCATGTTCTAGCCGCTTTGTTATTTTACAACATAATTAATATATGATTTTTATAAGTATAGGATGAGTATGATCATCTGGGTGACTTAGTCCTGAATAGGACTGTTGTTGTTGACAGTGACCGACGTTTCAACAACCTGTGCGGTAGTCATCGTCAGGGTCAAATGTAAAGATGACTACCGCACAAATTGTCAAAATGTCAGTTACTGTCAACAACAACAGTCCTATTCAGGACTACATTCACCCAAACGATCATACTCAACCTACTTATGAAATGACTCCTGGGATCAAACCTTTCACAGTTATGATTTTAGTCATTGTTGTCTTTAAACTGCTTACAAAGTGTGTTTCATTTATTTTTTAGATGCAGGTGAAACACTGGTGCACAAGGCGTGCTTGTTTCCATGGCATATTGTTCTTCCTGTTGTTGTTCAGTATTTTTTGCTACTTTCTGTTCACAAATCTTCTTCCGAGAGCAAGAGTCTATAGAGGTAGGACTGTGATCTGTATCTGTATCTCCCAGTGCTGATGACTTCAACTACCATTTATGTCTTTTACTAGGCTTGTACCAAATCTCATCCAAACCAAATGCAAATTTTATTTTATTTTTCTGTTAATGTGTTTACCGGTATTCAGATTTCAGCTAGGTTTTTTGTTTTTGTTTTCTGTGTTTGCTTTGTCGCTGCTTATTCTCTTATGAAATTATTTAAAAGTTGTTTCTAATAATTGTTAGTGTAATGCGCAGTTATTGCATTGCTTTATCATCTGGGCATGAGAGAAGTGCTATACAAAACAACACAGAGATATTATGACCTTGACATCAGCTTCATTAAAAACATAAACGAAAAGGGGTGTTTATTTTGCCACTTGCACATCTCCCAAGAAGAAGTGAAAAACATGGGTTATGCAAAATTGGGGGCCGGGGGGGGGGCAAACAAGGTGTATTAAGGTAGAGGTACCAATGGCGAATAGGCCATTTCCGAGTTACAAAATACTCTCACTTTCAAAACAAGGCTTACTGCAGAACCTTTCTTGTGCATTTTGTGAGACACAGGCAAATTAATGCCCCAGTGTCTTTTGTTAAACACAGGCAAATTAATACCCCAGTGCATTTTGTGAGACACAGGCAAATTAATGCCCCAGTGTATTTTGTTAACCACAGGCAAATTAATGCCCCAGTGCATTTTGTGAGACACAGGCAAATTAATGCCCCAGTGTATTCGTAAGACACAGGCAAATTAATGCCCAGTGCATTTTGTGAGACACAGGCAAATTAATGCCCCAGAGTATTTTGTTAAACACAGGCAAATTAATGCCCCAGTGCATTTTGTGAGACACAGGCAAATTAATGCCGCAGTGAATTTTGTGAGACAAAGGCAAATAAATGCCCCAGTGTATTTTGTTAAACACAGGCAAATTAATGCCCCAGTGTATTTTCTTAGACACAGGCAAATTAATGCCCCAGTGTATTTATTAGACACAGGCAAATTAATGCCCCAGTGTATTTGTTAAACATAGGCAAATTACGGTATTTGTTAGAAGCAGGCAAATTAACACCCCAGCGTATTTGCTGTATTTGTTAAACTTAGGTAAATTAATGCCCCAGTGTATTTGTTAGACCCAGGCAAATAAGGATCAATTGTTCGCTTGAAAAATCACTCAGCATGCCTATATATCTAATGCTCAGAATTACAGATATTTCCTGAGGAAAGATCCAGATTTTTTGTGGGCCGGTTTATATTCACATGTATCGGGTTTATAACACACAAAGCTTAACATTTCTACGAGTAAAATTATTGTTGCTTTATTGATAGTAACGCCATAATGTTTAACAGTTTCATTAGCGACTGAGCTGGTCCTCATAACCACTTCTGAGCTTCAGCGAACATTAAGATCAAGATCGATTAGCATCCTTATAGCGCCACGTCTTCGACATAACAGTCCGCTCGCATTTACAGCTAAAACGTTTTCTCTATGTAAAGATTTGTAATTACGCACCTTGCGGCCGTGATAGTAATTATTTACCTGTTTCAGTGAAGATCACAAGATAGCCAGCATGTGCACAAGCGAAAATTAAACGAGAAAAAATTCGTCTTGAACGCCATTGCATTTGAGCGCGCAGTAAAGCGAGATTACTTTATTTTTACCGCTAATATTTCCGAATATGGTATTGCTGTAATAAATTAACCGCAATAAGTAACGCAGCATCTTGCTTGTGTTCCTTGTTCTGTTGCTTTTTATAAAGTCACCTTCAACAGATCCAAATGTTCTCTGATTCTGTTGTAACTGTTCCAAACGGAGAAATATTTTTAGAGTGAATTTTTTTAAAACTGGAAATAGCAGACGCAACATCAAATTGCTTGTGACCGGATATGTAATCAACTATCTTACCGCAGATTGCCATATGCCTAACCGCAAGGAAGGCAAATGACCGCGGGATTTTAACGCCTTGGGCAAATGTCTGCTGTGAATTCCTGAACTGGCCTAAGCCTCTCATGTAAACTAAGCAGTGAGTGATAATTTTCTTGTTTGTATATCCAGATTTTTTCAATTTTCCTATGAAGAAAGATGGACCTCCACAGATTGCGTTTGTCTGTCAACCCTTTGCTGCTGAAAAGTGTGGCCTCTTGTGGCAAAAAGAGTACTGCGAGTTTCACAAGAAAGCTCTTAAGAATCCTAAGAACTCAAAGTACCTCAGTTTTAACTGTCACAGCTCGGGACATGGGGGCCTTGGCAACCGTATCCAAGGAATTGTTTCTCTCTTCTTCTTGGCATTGCTAACTGACAGGGTCTTTCTTATCAACTGGATCGGGCCAGGTATAATAGCGGACTACCTGGAGCCAAATCAGATTAATTGGGATTTGCCACTGAGTAGATTTGGGACATTCCACAAGAGCTTTTGGGGCGTGATACCGGAGCCTGGTGGATACGACCACAGCGTTGTTAAATCAGAGGATGCGTTTTCAAAATGGTGTTTAGAAACTGATTTTGAGTCTGATGTATTACAAACACGTTTTGAGGCCGTTGGCACCATATTTCACTTTTTACAGGAGTTATATAAAAACCCTTATTTGAGGAAACAAGCTGCCATGAAGGAGCTTCCCTCTTCGCCTTCACAAATGTTCGGCTGCGGATTTCAGTTTCTCTTCAGGAAGAGCTTAGCCATGGTTCGTGCTTTAAGACAAGCCAGGCTTTCACTCGACAGAAAACCTCCACTTCTTGGTATACATGTTCGAACCAGTGATCATCATTGGGGCAGTACAAATGCGTTTTCATACCGTTCACATAACACAACTCTTTTTTTCCTGTGCGCACATGAACAAAGTAATTTTATCCGGCAAAGGTTTGGCCCAAGTTTCAATGACCTAAAATGGTTCTTAGCGGCCGATGATAAGGCAGTCAAGACCGCAGCGAAAAAACAATTTCCCGATGAAATAATCTCGTTGAATCTAAACCCAAAACATCTAGCTTTTGGTTGGCAAGACAGTAACACTATTAGAGATGTACTCCTGGATATTTTCCTTCTGGCTGAGAGTGACTTCCTCCTTTTAACTTTTGGCAGCAGTTTTAGCCGACTTGTAACTGCTGTTGGACTACATGATGAAAATAGTATAGCTGACGGTGAACGATGTTTGGTCAACCAAACGGCTTTAATGACAGTTATGTCTAGGCTTCAACTTTCCTTAGAAAACTAGGAGGCTTATTTATGTCCAGGCGTTTATTAAAAACAAACGTTCAAGATGCACACCCTGGTATTTCCTATTGCTAAACTAGAGAATTCAGGACCGATTTAATTTCGATATCATTGAACGTCTATTTAACAGTTACTGAATTAGGCTGAGTATGATGTGAAGAATTCTGCAGATCGAGGAGAATGTTATCTTGGCCGAAGTGGATAACATCCTCCGAGATCAGCATAATTCTGCGAATCATACGAGAGCCGAATTCAATAATTGTTTTATTATTCATTCAAATATTTCTCAACAAACTTTACCTCCTCGGAGACTATTTGACCCATTTCTCGGCACGGTTTCAGGATATAAACCGATGTTTTTTCTTTTTCTCTCAGATGCTCCTCAAAACGTAGATAATTAACATTTATCGAACAATATGTTTTGGGTATTCTTTCCTTTCTTCCGTTCAGTTTTTGTTAGAAATTCAGCTATTTTGTCTTCGGATAGCCTGAACGCCACTTTTTTCAGTTCATTATTGCCCAAGCGGCTTCGTTTCCAGGTTAATATACCTTCGATCAAATTCGTTTCAATCAGATATACCATCGAATCGATGCTATATAATAATTGCTCTCATCTTCCAAATATGATAAGCGCCAGTTGGTTGAAGTATTAACCTGGAGGTTTGCACTAATCAGAAAGGGCGGAATGTTTTGAATGACTGTGATACAAACTTGTTCTTGGAAGCCTTCAGACAAAGCTAAACTTAAGTGACCCTTTATTCTGTAACCTCATTTGCCTGTTCTTTGTCAGTTTCAGAATGCGAACAAGTGGTTTTTCTTGCAGATATTGCGAGCCTGTCCATACTTAGCGTCTATATGTCATTAAAATCGTTCTTGCCAAACTCTCCACCAATCAAAGAAGAGCAGGATTTCAAGAAATGGTGGATACGACCAGGAAGACGTCAGTGAATTGACCCCAGTCCTCTCTTTATCATTTGTACGCGGTCGCGGGAGACTAGCGCGGCATAAAAGCGCGGCATCTTGGCAAATGGGACGACCGCAAGAAGAGAGGATAAAAAAGAGTCGCCTCCAGTTTTCCCTCCTTCCCATCTCACGCCCCCCCCCACCCTCCCCTCTTCCCACCCGCCGCGCGTTTCCTCTGCACTTCCCTCGAGAAAGAGAGAAAAATAAACAACTGGGTACGAGTCAGAAAGCGCCAAGAGATAAGGGTTAAATGGAATGAAGAACATTTGAAGTGATGAGCAACCAGGCTCTATCTAGAAGATTAACCGAACGTGCAGGACATTTACGAACACAGCGAATTATAAGACGAAAAAATCTCAAAATTGTCTGACATACTAACAAGCTGTGGCGACTGTTAGAAGCCAATGAAAGCTCTGAGGACGCTGAGGGGCAATGGGCTTCTGTTTCGAGGTAGATAATTCATGAAACTGGAAACTGTATACTGACTTTTTCTTATCATCGATTCCATTTGTGTCATTCTTTCGGTGCCGCCTAAGCAACCAAGACTGGCCTGCGTAGCAGGCGTTTCCGTTTGGTTTCCGAACCAAGAAAGACCGAGGAAGGGGATTTTCGGTTTTGACTGCGCGAGAAATAAAACTGTAGCAAAAAAATGAAAGAGGGGGAGGGGAGGGGAAGGGGAAGGAAGGAAACCCACCCCCTCCCCGCTCTTTTACTTCCTCCATTTTTCGCGCGGTCTTTGACTCTCGGTCCTCCTTCTTTGCTCATAGACCGCACAGAAACGCTTGCTACGCTGGCTAAACTAAGACTCGCTCAAAGTCTCCTCTTAGACAAATTTGATCGAGCGCACTTTGCAAGAAGCCTGGTTTCTATAGAATGTGTAAGGACGAATTTGTAAGCGACCATTGGACGTAAACGTTTGAGATCACTAGCTTTTCTTTGAAAACCACTTGCCTTCGTCGGCTGCAGTTTGAAATTTTTCCCTGTTAAAACTGTTAGTTATGATGTACATTTGTTATAATAAACTCCCAGTCCTGTATCTTAAATTTTCAGACCACTGATGCATATTTAGAATAATACTAAATATTAGGACAATTATTTCGCAGAGATTTCCCACATCGTCTCTTTCTTGCCATTATTTTCCGTCCTGTTTAAAATGTGCAGAAATTAAGTTCCTCGATATTTAAGTCCGTGAACAAAGATTTGTACATCATTTTTCTGTCCTGACTGTAAAACTGAGACCAACAATCAGCTTCGAAGTGTTGCCAACCAGTCCTTGTTTCCTTGTTTGAAAACTAACATAAATATTAATGTTTTTAAGTATTTTTGACAAATGAGGACAGAATTGTGGATTGCAGACCACTAGAAAAAAAGCAGTTTTAGTTTTTCTCTTTTGAACAGAGCCTGTCTGTGAGAAAATGGAGTCGCACAAACGAGCGAAAAAATTAATGATGCCTGAATGAAGGAGAAGATAAAAAACAAATCAAAATTGAACGATTTTAACTTCACGTTCAGTGGAAATTCGCGGGGCATAGAGGAGATACCCGCTAACTGACACGGGTGACTTATTGTCAATGATGTAACGATCGTTTAATTGGCTGCTATTGGCTGAACGGTGACAAGCGTGTTGTTAATATACAATGATTGCCACCTGTCAAGTCAGTGTTTACACACTGACGTAGTCAAGCTTACCGCGCGTTCCGAACCAGCGATTAACGTACTCTTTTAGGAATTAGGTAATTTTTAATTCATAAACGCTTCAGAGATCGTAGTTTGACTAGGGTGATCTTTCGTCCAAAATCTTTAGGGATTGAAGGTAAATATTCTGTTTTACGAACTTCATGTTTTGCACTTGCCTGAAGCCAAGGTAACTGTTCCCGCCAATTTTTTGTACTACTCGTTACACGTGTGAGGGATTGGTACTGCATTTGCTTTGACCGTGCCTTTTTGCTTGTCAACAAAACTTCAAGATCGAAGCCTGAAGAACTACCACTTTTATGGAGATAAGTATCGTAGATAATCAATATTAAATGCATAACAGTTTTTTTCTCTTCTCTTTAAAGACGTAAAAGCGAGCCCTGAAGGAAAACCAATATCTTGACGAAGGTGGGTACCTTGTGTTAAATTCTCTGTGATATTACGGTGACTTCACTCATAAACAAAAAAATATCGCCCACCCGTCTGTCATCGCTCCCGGGTGTAGCGGGCGATACCACGATCGGAAGAAAACGCGCTATGGAGGTCAAACAGTACTTCTTTAGCCTTGCTTCAACCGTAAAATTTTAAAGATTAAGTTATATTAGTTTTATTTTTTTGATAAACCCGGGGTGAAGTCACCGTTTCCGTGATGGGTCAATTTTCCTGTCAGGTCTTTTAATTAACGCCCCTTTTTTATACAAATGTGCTGGAAGAAATTTTTCTCGAAGGGATAAGAAAAAAGTGTTATCACATTTATAACTTTTATTTGAGGAGGCCGTCTGAAGTTACTACACGGAAGATCTGTTCCTCAATTTCTATTCATTATAACAAATTTCGCAATTTCGTGGGTCATTGAAAAAATGGTATGATCCAGAAAATCGCCTGCTTGATTTCAGGTTAGGAGTGCCTCAAGGAGTCTTCGAAAACGATACGAGTTTTAACAAGAGAAAGTTACCAAGTTTCAAATCCCAAAATTCGTAGTTCGAATGTGAAGATTATGGAGGTCGATCTTATTTCCTACGTGAATGATCGGCTATAGTTTGACAATTAACTTCATTTGTTCGTTCTTTGGAACTAAGGAATGACCAATTTTAAGTTTTCTTTTAAACCGTCGCTAAAGGACTAGCAAAGTTTTTTAGAACTTTATCGACTACTTTCTCAGTAATACCATAGCAAATTGTTGAATTTCTTGTGCCCTGTCTTTCCGCCACTACCAGTAATTTCTTCAGTAATTCTGCCTAATTGTCTCTTTTTTTCAACTGGCGACTGGAATTAAAACTTGCCATACTCTATATAAAATAGGGTGCGGGGGAGTGACTTTGGTTACAACAGTATCTCTTGATAGTAAATGCTTAAACAAGTGCAAATTAAACAGCTAACGAAAGTTCAAATGGATTACCGATATTATCATTGTGAATGTTTATTGAAGTTTGGAGCGCTTACCATTTGCACGGAGAACCGGTTCATCCTGGTGGAATGTTGGGGAAAAAAGGTAATACTCCGGCTTTCCGAGGTATTAACTTTTTCTCGCTTTGAGAACCGGAACGACTGAAATTTTCTTTACCATTTGTTTGATTACCAGTGAAAGGCTTCCTTTCCAGAGAAAGCCAAAAATTTACCGGTATTTAGTAAATGGTCACAACGCGATCCCATTCCTGATTTCGGTGCGAAAAAAATACCAGTACCATTTGACGGAAGATTTTTTTAATCGAAATTTCCGCACCAAAGGTAAGCGCTCTTGGTCTCAAAGAATGTGCTCGTTATAGGCAGGTAGTTTTATCAACGGAATGTTCATTAGGCTTTTTAGCAAAAACGACACTGCAAAGACAGTGACAAGGTCGCCAACAGATCCCACAGATCTTGACCCACAGATAACAGAGCGCAAATTGAGCACCGAAAGTTGCGCTCAGTCCAAGGATGCCTATGTACCGAGCCAGGACTCGAGCCAACACTTCGACCCAAGACTCGACTCAGGGTTAGAGTTAGGGTTGGGGTTTAGGGTTAGGGGTAGGGTTAGGGAAAGGGTTAGGGTTAGGGTTAGGGTAAGGATTAGGATTAGGGTTAGGGTTAGGGTTAGGCGTCTAGTCACTGATAACTCTTGTTAAATACGCACACGATGTTCAGAAAGTACCCCATATTAAAAAATGTAGGAACTGGAAAGATTTTAGTCATGCGACGAGTCCTTTTCCATCTTTATTTTATTTTTGTTTAATGTTTATTTATTATTTTTATTTATTTATTTTTGCTTAGAGAAAAATTAGGAAAGTCCTAACTGGAGTGCTGACTCGAGTCCTGGCTCGAGTCTTGGCTCGATTCCTAGCTCGAGTCCTGGCTTTGACTCAAAGATCGTTGTGTTGTATTTGATAGCACATGGAGTACGTTAAACAAAATGATATGAAATAAACAATAAATGGATGATATTAGTCTGGTAAAGAATACAAAGTGTCATTTTTAATGTTGTAGTCTGAGCACGTAGAAATTTCCATCCCGTCTGAAAGAGGAACTGATGCTAAATACCATGTGCATGAAGTTATCCTTTCGATTGGTTCAGTCTGGTGTTCTCACCGGGTGGTTTTTTTTGTTTGGGTTTCTTAACCAAAACTGTTTCTATAGATGATACAGAAGCTTCTATAGTCTGACGATTCTCATCGTGAACTGGAAATAGCAATTTATACTAACATTTTTCTCTAAATTTACATAGCGGACCGCTGACCAAGATGACACGAGTTACACTGTTGATGTGCCTTACGATACTTGCCCTGACACATGGTAGGCAGACGTTCATTTTTCTGTTATTGTTTTCCAGTTATTAATCAATTCCTTTCTCTCTTTTGAGACTCACAATATAACCGGGTGCTTTTGAATTCAATATTTCAGCGGCACCAAACCCCAGCAAACGCGGACCTGAACAACAAGACCAACAGGAGACTGAGCCCGAGCAACCTGAACAGCCTGTAGCAAATTTCGTAGGAGGACCAGAAGGGCCACCAATGGAACAACAATTCGCCCCACAGGGACCAGAAGGGCCGCAAATGGATCAACAGTTCGCTCCACAGGGAGATCAACAACCATTTGCCGCGCCAATGGACCAACAAATGGCTCCACCTATGGACCAACAGCAAATGGACTGCTGTCAACCAGCACCAACATGTTTTAACCCTTGTCCTCCAGCCGCAGCTCCTATTTCCTTCAGTGCTCCTCCCCCTCCTCCTCCACCACCACCACCACCCCTTCCGGCAGCACCATGTTGCCCACCTGGTCCTGCCTGTGCAAACCCCTGTGCCATGCCCCCACCCATGCCCGATATGGGAATGGGAATGGCTGGCTGCTGTGATCCATCTGTAATGCCAACGTGCCAAAACCCATGTCAGCCACAGCCCCCACATCCTCCCAGAGCGGCATACGCACCCTATCCTGGTAAGTACGAGATTCTTTTATATTGAAAGCGTTCTATGTTTTACAGCAATAAAAATTTATGTTTTTTCCTTTTAAAACATGTAAAATAAACTGTCAAGATTATTATTAGCCGCAACGGAATTAATTTGACAGCGTTTAGCCCTATTGATTGTGTCTACATTGACTTCAATAAAACCCAAAACACCATTTACTAACCGTAATTGACTTCATCCCACTGAGACCCTCCCTAACAGATCGACTGAGCAATAAGATGGTTGATTAGCTAGACAAACGGACTAGATAGTCCAACCAGCATAGGTGGAAGGCTGGCTACCAGTTATGGAATTGAGTAAGAAATATGTTGAAAGTTTAGTTTTAATTTATCCTATACCCGTCCAACAGGTGAAATTACAATGAAACTCAAGCAGTCATGGAAATCTGAGCTCGCAGACCACGCATCACCTGCCTACCAGATCCTTGCCGGTAACCTTGCTACTGCGGTAAGTAAAACCCCTTTTTTCGCGCCTTTTTCTTTACCACGCCCCATCCACCTTCTCCTAGAGCACAGGCCACCATAGGCCATACAATAGACTACAATCTTCTAGGTTAACTATGAAGTAGATAACTTAGGCTATATTTGAATTATATTGTATATTGTAGATATTTTATAATTTAGATTTTTTTTNTTGTATATTGTAGATATTTTATAATTTAGATTTTTTTTTATATTCTTTTTTGTAATTAGGTAGCGCTTTGGACAATTATTGGATTTTAGCGCTATATAAATAAAATTATTATTATTATTATTATTATTATTATTATTATTATTATTATTAAGTATGGCATGATTATAACATTCATTATTATGGTGGCTTTAGGGTTAACAAGGGTTCACAGTCCTAAAACGTAACTATATGTCATTAAAAACCACGACACGCATGCTTCGCTTTTGGTAGCCTTCGACCAAGTTCTTCATTTCAAGTGGCGAGCGAAGCGATCAACGAGAGAACACGCGAGCGAGGGCCAAAGCCGCGAGAGGCATGAAGAGCTTGCTCGCAGGCTAAAGTTTTTATGAAAATCGAGTCCCAGGGAGTAGAATAGTTGCATATTTAAACTGCGCTGACAAGTTTCTCGATAGCAATTTCCCTTTTCAAAACTTTGCACATTGAAAATGCTTGCATTTGCTTCCCAGACGTTTTCAGCCTTCTCCTTGAAGAGTAGTTAACCGCGGTCTTGATCACAACAGACAGCAAGCAGCCGTCCTTTTTTACTACCACTTCCGTTAAGGCTCATTGCGAACTCCTCGATCTGCACTAGCGACCTTCGCCAGTCTTCAGCCTCGTTCCTTATGGTTGGTTCTGGCAATAACGAAAGCGTTGCTTGCGAGAAACTTAAAACAGAGTACACAGGGAGGGGAAAGAATTTCTCCACGTCAAAATAAAGGGAAATTGTGGCATACTTATGCCGCTCTATCTTTGATGTCCTTTAATTAACACGCATATATAATTTTCATTTCTGCTTACTATAGGTGAAAACAGCTTTACGAAGAGATGCCTATATCAGCAATATTTATTTCAGGTAAAATGGAGCTTCTTGAATTTGGGTTCTTTGTTCCTTCTTCTCGGGCTTTTTCAAATCTGCCCGGCTTTAATTTATTCCACAATGACCACGTCTCCTTCTTTACCTTATAAGGGAAGGATACGTACCAGGAAACCCCTCAACTCAACCAATCACAGTGGCTCATTTTATGGTTGATGGTGGATCAGATGATGCATCGCTTCTACAACAACAAGTTACACCCGACGAGTCTCTAGGAGATGGACTTAAAGTTTACAGGGATTCATTCAACGCTTATTAGAAATAAAGTGTACTCTTATTACAAGGTATGGTGTCGTTTGCATTTGCCACTTCAATAAACAAGAAGGAGTCTGGGCCGAGTTAACTTTCGCAAAGACTTCTGGGACTGTTACTAGGGACGGAGACAAAATTGGCCAATAGCTGACTGGCGCGTCCCCAGTAACTATACCAGAAACAATTGCGAGACACATTTCGGCACCAGTTCCCTTTTCCTTTGTAATTCGTCGAATGGATGACGAATAAGAGTTGAATTGTTGCATTTTAAATTAGTGAGTAGAGGGTAAGTTTTTCACAGTAAGTCATTTTACCAAGTCAGGCCGTATTTGTAGTCGCCAATCTTGAAACTTAGGGAGCATGGGCACAAGATTTTGGTGCAACGATTTATGGGATTGCTTGCGTAAAAGGCGTTGGATATGATTGGTTGGTTGATGGAACCCTAAAGCAACCATCAACCAATCATTTTTTACCTTCCCAAACGCTCCCAGAATCCTTGACAAAACTTGTTGCTCAGTTACCCTAAAATTTTTTAATTAAGGAACTACAACTTACTTGGAGACGAGCTTCTGTCTGAAATTTTTTACTTTCTACATTTGACAGAAAATGACTTGCAGGACAAATGGCAGACGAACATCAGACCAGCGATGAAAGCGCCGAGACGGACATTTTAATGCCTTGTAAATAGAGTCCAAATCGACTGACACCGTTTCTACAGGTGTTAAAAATTTTGTTTGGTATCGAAAACTGATGCAGTTGTAAAAGAATGTTCTTGGCGTTGAATTGGCACGCCAAGGGAGATATTTTAGCGCTCCTAACTTGACGAGCACATTGAAATTCGCCTTAGGAGACACGCCATAATCGTAGCTTTTTAAATTCTTGACATGTATTTCGTTACAGGGGGATCTTTAATATGTTGTACAAAAGCTACTTCGTTGACTCTTATAGTATCCTAGATTATCTACGTCCTAGAAAAGATAGAAAGCCAGTTTGGGTAAAGTAAATGTCAAAATAAAGATCATTCATATAAATTAAAGACACAATTCTTAATTAAAAGTTGTGTATGTTTAGTTTACTGAGGAAAGGAACCTTCTTAAGGATACCTTCCGAAATTTAGTTGAAATCATACCAGCAAAGCATGTACTGTTTAAATCCATCCAAGCTAATGTTTTCATAGTAACGACACTATTGAGACCATTAAACCGCGTGTTCAGCATCCTCGGAGACCCAGGGGCGGTCAGTCGGGACGGGAGAAAAGGTGCGGAGAAACTTTTTAAGCACAGGCGGAAACCCCCTGGGTACCGACTCTCACCGGACCATTTCCAAAAGGTCAAGCGAATGCTGGCTCCTGATTGGGCACACAAAATGTTTTGTATTATTGTGCCCAATCGGCGAACAGTTTCTCCTGAGTTCTCTTCGTGAGTTCGTACACGACGGCTATTGACTCGATCACGGCTTGTCTGGCTCATGCACCAAAGAAATGCACGCAGTCAGGAAACTTTCAGTTTGATATAAACTCTCCAGTTCAAAATACTGTCTACCCGCAAACTAAAGAAGCTTTTCCAAAAATACAAGCTTGAGCTTATAACAAGTATTCACTCTTGCATCGATCACGCCTTCTTAAATATTCAGGGGGTTTAAGATGCCACGACAGCTGACAGCCACGAAACCTCGCATGAGAAGTGAATTCACATTTTTTCAGTCTCTAACGTGATTATTCCAACTCGCTTACTTTGTCAAATGCAAGCGATCTCCTCTGGCGCTGAATTTCTATCAACCATATCCAAGTTCATACAGAGAAAGAAAATTTTGTCATTGCTTGTTTACTTCTTTCACAAAACGTGAAATTAGGTATTCTCATGTGGCAGTCGTGCAGTAACAGCAAAGAAATGTACAAAAGGAGTGATGCACGTGCAAAGTTGTTGTTTTGCCTTATCAAGCCATTACTTTTTTTACTTTCTCGTTGCCGCTGCATCTTAAACTTCCTATTATTTACGATACATTATGATCCGTCAGAAACAGAATTTTCTCAGTGCAAATTGAATTGCTCCCGCTGATAGCATCCGAAACGTTCTTTGACTCATCAGTAGTTAGGAAAGCTTGGTGAACGAACCAGCCAACTGTGGCGAGATAATAGCCTTCGTGCATGTTCGAACTCCCAAAAAGAACTCATGAGAAACTGTTCACCGATTGGGCACAATAATACAAAGCATTTTTTGTGCCCAATCAGGAGCCAGCGTTCGCTTGACCTTTTGGAAATGGTCTGGTGAGAATCGATACCCAGGGGCTCTTCCACCCATGCTTGAAAACTTTCGTCGTAACTTTTCTCCCGGCCCGACTGACTGCCCCTGGGTCTCCGAGGATGCGTGTTTAGTTAAAACAACTGTTGACACAATCTTACCAGGATGTCACTGTACGAAAAGTATTGAAATTTATTGCTGAAAACGTCTAAAAATATGGTTTAACCTATGAACGATGAAGCCCAGAACGTTTTCCCATAGGAAAAAGTATCTGTTTACACTTCATATTTTCTCTGTTATCAGAGCACCAGCTCCCTTGCTCAAGCTCGCGGTGTTAAGGCGGCCAGGAGCCCCAGGGGCCCAGACTCGTACCCAGTCGCTATTTATGTGTTTTTCGGGGGGAGGGAAAATTGGGGTTAGGTTGAGGCGCGCGGGGACTCATGGGAAGAGACAAAGGAGAGCTATCTTTCCTTGCCTGGGAACGAGAATAAGTGGCCCTCCATGAAACATCAAAATTCGCCGACAAAGTTTTGGCTGAATAAGCGGCTCAATAGGTCATTTCCGAGTTTCCCCGGGCCTCTGTTTCAAAACGAGGGTAGTTGCTCAGCCTTTGATACGGAAATCATTTTTCATTCTCATGCAAGTAAAACTCATTTTCACAAGAAAGGTTGTGCACCTAGCCTCATTTTGAAAGTGAGGGTTTTTGGAACTCGTAAGTGGCCTATTTACTGTTCATAGTACGTTAATTTTGTTTCAACTATGTCGCTACAGTGAGTTTCTTACTCAGTAGAACTTGTCCTTTCGTAGTTTCTACATGTTATACTTACCTAGTGGTTATTATTTTAATTACACCGATTTAACTTCACCCGTAAAAAAAAGTTGACAACTGGTGCAAAATAGCTATAAATAAACAAAAGAAGACAATAGAATTAATGCATAATAGTGCGTAGTATTCTACTGTCTATTTCACGGGTTTAGTAAAATCACTCTAACTTTCCAGGTACTCAAGGAGGGCCGAAAGTTACGAAAATTCTCAAACAGATCCAAAATTTGAAACGATGCAATAGACCATTCTTGAGTTGCATTATGCCTCGTATTCAAGGGAGTAAAGTACCAAGTCTTTGATATAAGGTTTAGTTTCTTATCACGCAGATTAAATTCATTTTGACAAGACGAAGTTTCCGTGCCACTTCTAACATTAAAAACCACCGAAAATGTTAAAAAAGTTTCCGTTTCACCGCTGAGCTATGCTACTTAGTAACACAAAAGCACACAGACCACGAATGCGGGCTTAGTCGATTGATACTCCTACCAGCAAAGTAACGCTGTAGACTACACTCGGTTTCCTTTCTTCAGTATGATTGTGATGAAGAACGATCGTAGTTATATACGTTACAATAATTATGTAAGTAAGTAAGAAATACTACAGGGCAAATTTATTTGTTTGTTCATTCATTATTTGTTATTGACCTAAAAGGAACTGTGAGCATTGAATTATCACAATTATTTCTATAAAAGTGTTTAATTTGTCGGAATGGTCATTCCTTCCGCCCACTACGAGGAGGGGGTGGGGAGGTTATAAAGAAGTTCTTTAGAATCTACTTCGTAGACTAATGAGAACTTTCACTATGATTATCGATTAATCGACGCCAGCGTGTATGTGCTGTTTCTATTCTAACCTATATTTTCATTATTCTCGGTAGCTTAATTCCACACAGGAACCCTTGTGGGTTTACTCTCTTCAGAGACAAGCTCTTCTCATTTCGGGTTGGGCTGCAGCTTTGGATGGTGACACACAGCTTTACTGGTATTCAATCAATTCGCCACGTGAGAAACGGCAAGGAGACTGGGCCGAGTTAACTTTCGCAAAAACCTCTGGGATTGTTATCAAGGACAGGGAAAAATTGGTTAATAGCTGACCGGTGTGTCCCCAGTAACGATCCCAGATACAATTGCGGGGCGCATTTCGGCTTCAGTCCCCTTCTCGTTTTTAAATGGACGAATGGACGAAGACCATTGTAAACAAGCCGTTCTTGCATTAAGCAACGTCAATGAAACAGTTCATCTTCCCTCACTTCTCTGCAGCACGGTTTCCTCCGGGGAGAAACAAGACACGCTGTTCTTTTTACTGTTGACATTCTTGGGGCGTTAATCGTCGTATTTAGTGACGACACAGTCACCATGCATGAGGCAGCGATAGTGGTATCTCCTGACCGACCGGTAAACATCTCGCAGTGTCACGCTACCATATCAATTCCTCCTTCCGTTTTAATCACTCCTCCACCATTAGCTGGGGCCTTTAGAGAGTTGTTTACTTCTCGTCTGAATATGGACAAGTTCTGTGTAAACCTGTTTTAGGTAGAAAATTTCCAGGACTGAAGGGAGAAAACAACTTAAACAAGAACGGTTCCCATAGTGCAACCAACAGCAACAAAACTAAACGAATTTCCGAAGGCAATTATCTTGATGGTCACACGGACCTGATTAACGTATTGCCAAGTTAGAAACGTGCTAAGCGTAGCGAACAATTAACATAGCGGAAAATAATGACACTAGGATTTGAATTAGATTGTTCAAAAATTGCCAGCTTGTATCAAAACTTAAATAGTTTTCGTACCTTACTCTGAAGTTTCTCAAAGAACTGTTTGTCTCGAATTTAGGTGCCTCAAATGTCACGTTACCGTCGCTGATTGTGGTACACAAAATCTCGCAAGTGAACTGCTAGTTTTTTCGGGCACGGCTCTTAACGAGAAGTTGATGCCAAATAGGTAAGTTACACTTAGGAACCTGATCCTAAGTCTCAAACGCAGGTTATAACCTCTTTTAATTTCTTTCGAGGTGGAAAGTAAGGTTTTTGTTGATAACAAACTCAAAGATGGGAATAGAAGATAAAATACCTGTCTCTGTTTTTTGTAATAAGTGATGGTTCAACTCCCTCCATGAGATTCCTAAAGCACTGAGCCATGTCTTCTTGTTTTTCAACTGGCTGCATTGCGATTACATTTCGCTGTAGCTCTTGAAAATACTAAAATGACAAAAGTAATTGTGCTCGCACGTGGCAACTAAATTGTTCGAGGGTGGTTCTAAATTTCAGTTTGTTTCTTAACAGCTGAAAAAATGATTTGAGTGATGAGGAAAATTGATACGAATCTCGCCTATTTTCCTTCATAATTTTCCATGCGCCACCATTTAATAATTTTAAGACGCCAACTCAGTTGATGTCTCAAAATTTTAAGATGGTGGTGCAAGGGAAATAAACAGCAGTTTCAGCAGTTGCTACTATTGACTCTTCACAATGCGGCAAATAAGTGACGTCATAACTAATACATTGTTTAAAATTCCTCCCTCAAAATGGTGGCACAGGGGAAACTTAACAACGAAAATAGGTCTCTGATGGCCTATATACACTTTTGTTTCACTTAACAGAGAAGGAATTCACTTCTGACAAGTAATCGTTGATTTGACGGTAGGGGTTTCCTCACCTTTTCATTCAGAAGAATGAGGCCAAGCAGGGGTCTGGACATTGACCACTGAAATGGGAAAAATTCAACAAAAGTCAAACTTGAATAAAGCTCAATCTCAAACTCAAACTTGAAATAAACCGAAGTTAAACCCAAACTCGAGCTTAAACTGAAATTCAAACCGAGCTCATACTGAAATTTTATCTCAAAAGCGAACTCAAACTCCAACCTTTAATACCAACTCAAACTCGAACTCCGATTCAAACTCAGA